GGGGGGGGGGGGGGTCGCTGTAGCTGCAGCTTTTGGCTCTTGCCTTGACCCAGGTTCAGGGTTAGAATTGTAGATGCAACTGCTACCCCACCCTGCCATGTCCCCCACTGCCACTTACAAGGGTCCTTGCAGTTGTCTGGGGAACAAAGTACATGGTGGCTCTGGCCCTGGTTCTCATGTGGGGCTGGGGCTGGAGCTGCTGCCATGGCTGCAGCTGCTGCTACTTTGCCAGGCAGAGTCTGCTGTGTGCTCTGGGCTAGAGTGGAGCTGAAGCCAGAGCCCAACTGAGGGTAAGGGGGGTGAGGTGGGGTGGGGAGGGGAATAGGGGCAAATGGCTCGGGCGGGGAGGAGAGAGGAGGGGGGTACAGGTGGTAGGCATGTGTCAGGGGGCAAGGGGTAGCTTACTTGCTGTCTGTCTGTCCCCCACTGCTGTAGTAGGGAGACTAATTTAAGATGACTTCCAATAATTAGATTATATAAATATACTATAGTTTTCCATGCATATTCTTTTCATGTATAGACGTTGATTACTGGGTGGCTGACTCCAATTCAGGTAAATATGGTATATTGGAGTCCCTACCAATATGCTGTGCATATTGCATAGAGGAAGAACATTCCTGCCTTGAAGAGCTTTCAGTTTAAGTAGGCAAAAGAGCAGGGGAAACAGCCATTGAGAGATGACATGGCATGCCTTCCAATGTTCATACTAGATCAGTCACAGACTTGGGAATTAGGAGCAGGTCTTTAAATCCCCACTCTAGTCCAGAAGACAATGTACTACATTGCTAGCTCCATTTTTTCAGTGTCCCTGAATGCAGGAGTTGTGCAAGACCATTTTGTCTATGGTTGTGCTGTCCCATACCATTTCTTCTATCAAGAGCAGCTCTGTGGCTAGTTTTACCATGAATTAATGGAGTGTAGTTGATCTTATAGTAACTAGTTATTAGAGATCCCATTAGATTTCTATGTACGTTCTATGTACTGGGAGTGCTAAGAATTGCAGTACCACTGAGCAATTAGTGTTCTTTCTCTCCGTGTGTGTGTGTGTAAAAGAGGCCCCTTCCTCATGTTAAATATATTACAGAATTAACTGGTTAATCATGCAATAAATTTGGATTGGCCGCACATGCGGAATAAATTATCATGTAGTTAGCTCGGGAGCAGACAAAACATGGCCTGTGGGCCGAATCCAGCCCACCAGGCAATTTCATCTGGTCTGCGGGGCCCCTCCATAAGCCCTGGTCCTTGGTGGCACTCTGAAAGCCAGTGTCTCCATGCAGGGGGCGCAGCTCTGGTTGTTAAGCAACTGCCCCGCCCCCCCCCACCCCTGCCTGGCCTGACCTACCGCCAGCCCTGAGCTAGAGGCAATAGAGACTAGAAGCTTCTGCCTGGCAGAGGCTTTTACCTAGCCACCATGAGGCTTTTTCCAGCCCTCCCTGCCTGCAAGACTGGGAGTTTGGGTGCAGGCCCCACTGGGCTGGGGCCAAGCACTCCCACTGGGGGAAATAAGGCAAGAGCATGGGGAGCTGGACTGGGGTGGCCCTGCACACTGTAGGAGCGCAGGGCCTATGTGCCATGGGTCTGGATCAGGCTGGCCCCGCACACTGCCGCCACATACAGCCAGGGACTTGGGTGGGAACTGCTGCTGTGGTGCTGACCCCACACCCTGCTGCCAGGTGGAGCTGGGGACCCAGGTGGGAGCATTGTGGGACCAGGCTGGGCTAACCCTGCATGCTGCCACCACTTGTGGCCAGGGACTTGGGCAGGAGTACAGGAGCTACATGTTATGGGGACAGTGGGGCTGACCCAGCACGCTGCCACCATGTGTGGCTAGGGACTTGGGCAGAAGCACAGGAGCTGCATGTTATGGGGCTGGGTAGGGCTGGCCCTGCATGCTGCCACCACATGCAGCTGGGGACTGGGACAGGGGCCCTATTGGGCCAGCTGGGGCTGGACCAACTTGCTGCCACCACATGCAGCTCCAGGGACTCTCTCACTCCAGGGACTCGAAGGACACCACCCCCATGCCCCACCCTCCACCATACCCTTAAACACACCCACACACTTCCATAACCCCGCACCATACCCCTAAACACACAAACAGCCTCCTACAGCATCCACACCCCTATCATAACCCTACACATATGCACATCCTCCTGCACACCCCCACCCCAACCATTTACCTTCTGTCCTCCCCTACACACCCTACCCACACCCCACACACCCACTCCCCATA